CCAACAACAATTCAAGTGGATTTGTGAATTTTATCAAATTTGGTTTGTGCATTTGGGCAGTAAAGGGATCCAGATGCAGCAGTCTTATCATTTTTGAAAAAAAAAAAGCTAGACGGACGAAGGGGCATCAGTATAAATCTTATCAAATAGATTGCCAAAAAAATCGTCAGTATATCTTAAGAAATATACCGACGAATAATGTGTCACTAAACATCACAATATTTACTGACAAAATAATAACAATACTAATGTGTTGTCACCTGTTTATCACATCCATCATTGTACTAAACAATTTAAAGATATTGCTCATAAATAACTGTCTGTGTAGTTTTCTATTATTACAATACTGATGACTATTTCTTGTCAATATGTGTACTAATGGGCCCTATACTAACGAACTTATTAGCTAACGGTGTAGTCCATAGGGACTACAATAAAGGTAAAATAATATTGATTTTATTAATTGTAATATAAATAAAATAATAATAATAAATATTCAATAAAAAATATCACAAATATAATAACAATAATAACAGCAAAAAATATATAAAATTGTTTTTTTTTTCGGTGGAAATGGGAAATTATTGAAGCAAATTAAGTTTTAGAAAAAGTGATCCAATACACAATACAATCATTTTTATCATAAGAGTAACTCAAGAAACAAAAAAACAGAATAGAATCAAAAGTGATAAAAGGGTTTCCATGAGAGCTCCATACTTGATAAATGTATCAACCACATCATTTGCTACACGATATTCGTGTTTGATCAGCACCTGTTCAAACTATTGGGTCAACAATCTGCAAAGATGCGATCAAAGTCTTGTGATTTAAGCACGTTTTACCAACCCGATTGAAAGTTTGAAACCTAAGACATATTTTAAGAATGCTAAAAATATATACAGTAATTAAAGCTCACTAGGGGAGCTATCCCTGGAAGCTAGTATAAGTTTGGATTCCTGTCATAATAAGACCTGCTAAGGCACCGAGGAAGATGAAGAAGCTCCAAGGACTACTAAAATAGGTGTCAGTGAGTTTAACCACGAAGCTGGCACATATATTGCGGGGGTGTGATTTGTTGCTGCAGTATTCATGGATACGTCTGAAATCTGAGTCCATCTTAAGATTTGGCACCAGGATGCGGCTGATCTTGTTGAACAGCTTCGCTACAGCTTCATCGCTTCCTAATCCGTGGTGCAGCACGCCTGCATCTCTCAGTTCCTTCACATCCTCGCTATTATCAATCAAGGAGTCGAGGAATGACAAGTACGAGATGATCTTGCAATCTTCTTTGAAATACGGCCACAGCTCATACGCCAACAAATTCATCAACAATGGCATGGTGGTATTGTGCAAAAAAATGGGAGCCAGCTTAAGGGTTGGCATGCAACGACGGTCATTAAATTTAATCTTTGTGAGGGAATCTACCTTTTCCCTCGCCTCAAAACGAATACCATTGTCTTTCAGCTCCTTTACGTTGCGAATTGAAAACGAGAGTCTGCTTTTATCACCTTTCATTTCTTTTTTCAACCAACCAGATTTGTTAGTCTGTTCTTGGTTCTCGGCGCCCTTCTTTTTCGATTTGACTCCCATCAGTATTCTTCGCACTGTATGCAACGAACCAGATTCTTTAGTCCGTTCTTGTTCCTTGGCGCCCTTCTTTTTCGATTTGACTCCCATCAGTCTTCTTCGCAACAAGTCTAGAAGATGAACAGGGTCTTCTTCTTCTTGTTGCTCATGAGAATGATCAATCTGAATTCGGTGTTGGTGCGCCGCAATCAGACTCAAGAAACTCTTATTGATGAAGTCGGTGATGTATTCATTGAATAACCTCTTAAAATCAATATCTTTTGAGGCTTCAACGTACGATTCTATCAATATCTTAAGAAGTTGGTAGGGCAGCTGGTTCTCAAGTAAGAAAAAATCAACCACCGGAATCCCAACTAGATCATGAGTAACTCTGAATCCCTCCCACTTATCGTCCACATAAAGGACTATGAAAAGCAACAATGCACAGCCATCCACTACGAACATAGAGGCCAACTCCTGATCTGTCCAATTCTGTCCTTTGAAGTAATAGCAGTCCTTCAAGCTCTTTATCCCCTTCATGACATTCTCGTAGAAATGTTCCACCTTGCCGTCACATTCCTCAATGAACGTTTTCGCCAGTTTTAGCTTGCATTCCTCACCTCTATGGATTCTCTTATGTTCGTTAGGCTCTCTTTGATGGTTCAGGGGACCGATCGCAACAGAAGTTGGTTGGAAATATCGTTTGCAATCCTCCTTATTGTAGCACGATCTCAATTTATGCGGAACCTCCCGAATATAAGGCTTGTTTGATGGCAATGAATCTGTATTGGCTTCCTCCAATGACGTAGGTTTCCCAAACTTAAGGACTAGTTCGGTGAGTGGGCTATCTATTCCATTACTGGCCATGTTGTGCAAGTGACAAGTCTGCTCGTGTTGCTGTAACCTCAGCCTTGCAAGACAAAAATATATATTACATGGAAGATTTTTTGGTAACCTTATTATGCTTCTATATTAACATTGGAATATTAAATTACTGTTTTACAATGATAACACGTCTGTCGTATGGTTCACTCTTTCGATTATTTCTCATTATGGAGAAGTCTGATCGATGTAGCATAACCAATTTCCACAATCCTTAGTGGATCAAATTACCTACTCTGGATTCAAGAAATGCGTAGTTTCTAGAAGGGACGAAAATTATAGCGATATAAGTTAGGGGAGATTAAACCTCCAAAGGAAGTTACCGGTGAGGCATGGATGAGAAATTTGCGGAACACTTAAGAGGACTAGAATAGCAAAATTCATTAGGTTATGTA